GATTAAAATCTTGACATTGACACACACCATACATATTTAAGAAGTTCGGAGTCTAAAGGGCAAAAGAGTAATATCAAAACACTTTTTAACCATAACGATAAAATCACTACCAACACAACAATTTATTTTGATGGCGTTAAGCAAAATCCCTGCTCCAGCAGCGATATTATACAATTTTTATTTTTATTTTGAAATCGCTCCCTTGACAGCGATTTTTTTTTTTTAAGTTTTGTTTAGAAAGTTTTTTGATATACTCTTTTGAAATTTTCGTCAACTTTTTTTACCCGTTAGGCTCCGAACTCCATATTTAAGATACAACTATGATCTTGCAACAAAACTAATTAACTACGTCTAACCCCTCATAAGAATTGTTACAATATACCGTACCCTAAAACCTCAACCCTAAATTTTAAATATAATTTTTCACATTACTTGTACACTTTTATTATATCAAAAAAAAATTAAAATATTCCTTTAACATTAATAACTCATTTCTTAAATTATTTTCCTGGATTTTTTAAGATGTTAATCTCGATTCCACTTGAAAAGATAATTGCTAGAGAAGCCGTTAAAGTATGACTGAGAAGTAAACGTTGTGAAATTAGGTCTTAGGCCTAACTCACACCTCAAAAGCTAGCTCAAAGAGAGGAGAATTGCCCAAGCCGTATAAAGAGTTCACCCATTTCATTAATCACCGATATGGGACTTTTGCCATTCTTTAACAAACGTATAATCTATTTATATAGACTTGAACAATTCTATATGCTCATAAAGTAAATTATGAAGTTTGCATTAGATCAAATAACATATTTTTACATGATATTAAAATCAGATCCGACGCAGTTAAACATGAAAAATAATTTCTTTGTTGGATGTTGGGAAGGAGGGTAGCCATTGAAAAAGGTGTCCGATTAATATATATATATATATAAAATTAATATATGTTAGGTCAGTGAAGGTAGCAGCTTGAAAAGCTACATACCACTGAAACAAAAGAACAAAATAGTGGTCCCAAATTTCCAAAAAATACCCCTGGTTAAAAATTCAGAAGACAGGAAAAAGATTCTTATTTCTTTCTACTTATATTAATCTACTATATAGTTTTATAAAATAATGTATGGCCGTTGCAGTAATATATGCCTATCTAAATTTCTAGTAATAATAATATATATAGCTGGAGACGTTTTCATGAACTATCATTTTCTCAGCCACCACACTTCATTTTAACTAATCCTATAAAATAAAGGACCACGCATAACACATTCTATATATACTTGTAAATTTACAAATAAATGAGATATGTATTGATTTGTACACTCGTTCAATAATATTCTAACACCTATTCCATGGAGAAATAACTTATTGTCTTACGCAAATCTCACATTAAAAAAAAAATAAAGTTGAGAATATATATGAGAAAATAATGTATTTATCTCGATATATTTTCGATTCACGAAAAAAAGAATAAAATCATGTGACATGAATTAAAAGGCTTGGGGCGATCTTAAAAATAAGGCCAAAGCAGACAATACGTTAGATAATTTATGTTGAACTGTTGCAAAAATATATACATATAATGATATAAATTATTATAGAGTGAATAGGAAAATTGAATGAACAGTAATTTGACAGTAATGTTTGCATGCATGTGGAGTCATGCCAATCTATACTTTGAAATTTCTAAAACTATTTTGCAGTCTACGTTTGAGGTTATATTCCAGCAATCTTAGTCCCACCTTATTTGTCTCGTGTAACAGACACATATGCACCTTAATTTAATTTTCGGTCATTAATGATGAAATTAGAAATTTCATAAATATAGAGGCGTATATATAATTTTGATATTACAAAATAAAATAATTTAAAATATAAATTGGATTGGTTTAATATTTAGGTTTTTGTTATTGAAAATTTAATATTATAGGTCCGAAGATAATTCAATAAAATTAAAATGTCAAAAGTGCTACAAATTATCACATAGAGAAGTGTTACCTAATTTTAGAAAGAAAAATAAAATAAGATAAACATAAAATTTAAATTTCTAACCTCAGTTCACTTAGTCATTATCACATTAATTATGTGATACTCGTATTGTGTGTTTCACACATCTTATTTTAAAAAATATTATATATGATTCAATCTCTACTATAATAATTATAAAATAATTTCAATCATATATAAATTTTGTATAATATTTTTTCAGGAAATTCAGATTGTAAATCGGACCTCAACCCTGCATTGCTTGTGACCAAAATGTGTCATGTACAATCTTCGAGCATGCGTATCATTTGGATAGATTCAAGAGCGTGTTATTTGTTACTAAACAATATATGTATATGTATATATGTGTGTATATATATATATATACACACACACTCTGTCCAACATTATTTGTTCAGTTCAAATTTATACATCCATTCAAAAAAATAACGATTGACATAATGAGTCAATTTTCTCCCTCCGTTTAAAAAAGAATGTTTCAATTTTCTTTTTAGTTTGTTCAAAAAAGTTTTTTTACAACATTTTAATTTTAACTTTCTACGTGACATGTTTAAGACCACAAGATTAAAGGGCATTTTGATATATTTGATATAACTTTAATTTAGAACCACAAGATTAAAAAGTCCTATTTCTTTTTTTAAATTCGTTCCAAATCAAACTAGATCATCCTTTTTGGAACGAAAGGATTATTAATTAAGAATATAGTAAATAAAAACAATAATTTATACTTCATAGATTGATCAAAATAAACTAGTAATTAACGACAACTTTCTTTTTTTAAAAAAACAAGTAATGAGGAGAGATGGAGTAGAATATTAGGAGCAAGTTGATAGTAGTAGTACTAGTTTGAAAGATGCTGACTTTGATTAAATGCAATGAAAGAAAGATGGGATTGCATTCACTTAGGAAAAAAGATTGAATGAGTCCATATGAGTGGTGGAATCAAACTTTCAAATCTTATGATTTTTGATTTTACGATAGTATGACTTGTCATGAATCGTGTCACGTGAGATTAATTCGAAAAAAAAAATTTAAAATTTTTAATTAAGGAAAAAAAAATAACATTATCCGATGCACACTATGACTTTACAAGAATATAAGAATTGAGTGAATCGAATAGAATGGTGATGACGTAATAAGAAGTCAGTAAAGACAGAAGAGGCGTGCATGGGAGTAACTGAGACGGAAAGCGTGTGATTTGGACTTTGCATTTCCTTCAAAATTCAAATTAAATTCAATTAATGCTGCCTACTCTGCAAAACTCTCTTTTCATCTCTCCCTTTCCACTTTTTCTTCTCTATTTTCTCATCTAATAGTTACATTTCGAATTAATCAATATTTTCTTTGACAAAGTTATGATATTTGATTTAAAAAAATATTATAGGATTGAAATAATGATGCATCGGATATGAAATTGATTTTTCTTCTTAATTATAAGTTTTTGATTTGTGTTCTAAATTTAAAAATATCCATATAACGCTTCTTCGAAATGCGGTGCGAACTCAAACTAGTCGAGATTAAGTGTATTAACCGGTTTGATATGGGATGAATCTAATTGAAATTTATGGATAGGGGGTATATTCTATTCATAGCCCTGCACGGTCCAGGGTTCCCACATTGGACCTGATCAATGGACCTGACTCAATCTCATACAAGGTGGAGTTAAAAATTTCAAAACAAGATATTAAGAATTAAATACAAAAATTGTAAAATTACGTGGCAATATTAATACTACATTATACAATGGCATAATACATATATTAGACCCTAAATTTGGCATCAAATTTTAATTTTAACCTATAACTATCATAATGCACAAACAAACACTTTAACTATCCAACTTTTAAAATAAAAAAACACATGAGTCCTATATGACACAATACACATAGGACACCACGTCTGACAGAAAATGACATATTGGATGACATGTAAGACATGCGTGTCTATTTGTTCAACTTTATACGAATTTAAGTGTCTACTTATGCACATCCAAAACTGAATAATATAAATGTAATTCGAAGTCAAGTTAGTAAGCACATTTATATATTATGCCTTATATAATTATTGTAAGGTATGATTAAGAATGTGATCAACATTACGAATAAAAATATGTAAGTGAAATATAGGACGTATAATATATAGTACAATAGATAAATGTCAGAGGTCCATGATTGTGTCAATAATCAGCGTGCATATGAGGGAAACTACTACAACTAGTACTCAATAATATCACTGCACGTTTCCCTCATCACTCTTAACCTATATTTTAATTTCAAATTTCCCTCACACTATACCTTAGACTTGGGTGAATTTTTCTCAGCCCTTTTACTCTTTCTTGGGAGGTTTTACTTTTAGGTGGGGGTTAGGTCTATTCTATGGTACATTCAATATACTACTAAAAAAGGTGACACATACACCAGTCGCATTATAATACATATAAAGTGTCTTTTAACTCGTCTTCTTTGTTATTCAGTTTTGGACGTGGACAAGTAAATATTTAAAATTTTTGTATGAATTTTTAGTATTTACATGTACACATATAAGTTAAAAGGACATAAATATCTAACGATTGAATCAAATTAAAAGTCGTATCTTACTTTATGGCATCAGCAAAGTAAGATTGTTGTCTGAAAGAGATAAAAAGAAAGTTGAATTTGAAGGAAAGATTGATGATCTCAACAAACTGAAAAAGCTATAATATCTAACGGCTTTCTCCGTTTTCAGCCTTTGACTTTTTATATTGAGTTTTGGAATATCAAATTAAACTCATAAATATATTGGGGATCTCCTTAAAGATAAATAAATTTAGGATGAATATATACGTAAATACATTGTTAATATAGGTCGTGGTACAATAGTATAACTCTATTTTATTAATTAGAAGTCTTGGAATCAAGTTCGAAGAAAATTTACTATACGTAATCTGAATCTAATCAAATTTTTAACATGAATTTATTCATTTTTCTAAAATGTAAAACTATTAACATCTCCCTCAAGAATAACATTGAACAATTGTAGTAGCAGAGCCACCAATATTTTGATCAATTTGAAAAATGAAAAGGTATTATGTAAAAAAATATTTTTAAAAAATCAGAAAATTACATAGAAAAAATTTGATTAATTTACAAAGAGAATAGGAAAAACGACAAGATAGAAGGATGAACTTTCCTCTTGTTGAAAATATTGAAGAACTAAAATTACATTTTATGAACCCTCTAACTACTTTTTCCAAAACTTGAGACCCTTTTTTGGAAAATTTAACTATCATCTAACTCTGTAACTAAAAAGGCTAAAAACATATGCCTTGGTTATCTGATAGATTTTTCGTAGTACAAAAGTTTTTACAGAAGCCCTTGAATTCTCTCCATTGTTCACTTATGTCCCTGGCAATGTTTTTTGCATCATTTGCAGTCCCTAATATTCCTCTTCTTGTAAATCCCACTGTATATAATCCATTTTCCCCTTTCCAACCATTTGGAAATGGTGTTTTTGGCATCCCTTGCTCTGTGAAGAAATCACTTCCCTACAAAATTAATATTAAAAAAAAATTAGTACTAAATTAAAATTTTTGAAATTTAAATATTTCATCATTAATTTTGGAAAAATAGAAAAAATCTTGCATGTGATAGACCTAAAAGTCTCAAAAAGTTGGGTACCCTTTCACTACATATAAATAAACCATAGGACATATGCCACTATGCATGGTCTAGTAAGTGCATATCTTTGGTCAAAATTGGCCCACAAAATTATTTATTTTAATAAAAATATTTTCATAATATATAATTGTACTTAGTCTATATGTATTATTACTAATCATTATAGTGTATAGGAATTCAATAAATATGAAATTAATAATTGTAACATGAATTATATCATTATTGTATTCCCAAGCTATAGGAACTAGGAAGTACACACATTAATTTAATTTATTTTTGGGAAAAAAAATAGGGAAAAGTCCAGACAAATGAGATCAGAAATTCTCTTTTTTGGTTTAAGAAACGTTTTGTAGGCTTCTGCATGTGTAAGAATGAAAGTGATGTGAGATTGAGAGTAAAGATAAAACTAGAAACTTTATAAGGTAACAACAAAATACTCATTGCCTTATTATCACTTTTGTCATTTACCAATTGCCCCACCCAAAAAAAGAATTTGTGTAACGTAATTTAACTTGATACGAACAGAGAGCGAATATTATCATTTGTTATACCTTAAACCAAGAAGGCACATTGCTTTTGTATCCTGTTGCTAAGATTATTGAATCAAATTCTCCTTCTTTGCCATCTAAAAATTTTGCTCCTATTTTAGTAATTTCCTTCACACCTGGCATTATCTATTTCAAAAAGAATAAAAAAATCATCCATTAGACAAAATTAACTATTTTGGCTAAATGTAAGTATTTTTGAAAATTTACCTGAATTTTTCCGGTTTTTATTTGTGATAATGCTCCAACGTCGAGTACCGGTGTTTTTCCGGTGGCATTTTTAAGTTCAAGCGGGCCGGTTTTCGGTCGCCGGAGACCTAATTTATCAGTGCTACCTAAGGTTAAGTTAGCAACTAGTAATAACAACTTATCAACTATTCTTAAAGGCATCCATTTTAGAAGGGCCATAGCTATTGAAAATGTTGATATTCCTAACATTTCCCTAGGTAAAATATGCACCTGCATAAAATAAAATAAAATAAATAAATTAATAATGTTTAATTTACATCAAAATCATAAATATTTCTTTTGTTCTCGATTAATTTCTTTTTAAAAATAACGATAAATAGATCAAAATACATACTTTTTATGACTTTAAACTCACTATTATCGTCTGAATAACTTTCTCTTGTCGAAAGAAAAAAAAAGGTGAAATGTACTTACAGAATTTCTGACCACCATATGAGGAATGGCGTTATGTCTACAGAGGTCTAAGCTAACTTCCATACCAGAATTTCCACAACCAATTACCAAAACCCTTTGATTAATAAACTCAGTACCAGATTTATAAACACTTGTATGCATTACTCTTCCTTTAAACTTATCAATCCCTGGAATTTCTGGTATAACTGCCTCTGCATTTTCCCCTGTTGCAACAATCAACCATTTCGACAAATACTGAAAATCTTGAGTTTGTACTTTCCAAAACCCACAGACTCCATCAAATTCTGCAACTTTAACACTCTGTTTGAACTTGGGGGTGATAGAAAAGTGTTTGGCATAAGACTCAAGGTAAGAAATGAACTGGTGTTTTGTGGGGTATTTTGGGAAATTTTCTGGGAAATCAAACAACGGGAGTTGACAGAATTGTTTAGGAAGATGAAGTTTTAAGCGATCATAAGTTTTATGTTGCCATAAAGAAGCAATACAATCACTTCTCTCAAGAATGAGTGAAGGGACTCCATTTTCTTTAAGACAAGCTGATACTGCTAAACCAGAAGGACCTGCACCTACTATTATAGGTCCATTAACCCACAACCATTTTGGTTCTTCCTCTTTACAACAACCCATCTAAAAGGTTAAAGCTTTTTTCTTCTTTTCTCACTTTAAACTTTTGAAAAGAGTGTAAAAAGTTTCAAACACTCAGAGTTGCTCTGTTTTTTTTTGGTTAAGTAGCTCTACTTTTTCTTCTTCTTCTTCTTCTTTTTAGCTCTGTGAAAGTGTAGAGTGAAACAAGTGGGAATTTAAAGAAGAGTGAAGGTTGGGGGTAGGGGGGGGATTAGGGGGTGGGGTTGAGTTTCCTCTTTAAGGCTATTTTTATTTTTTTTCTTCTACGAAGTTGCATAGAATGAAGAGAAAAAACAGGGGAAAAAACAGAGGGGTTATTAATGAGGAAGTGTGTTAATGGAGGCGTGAAGGTTAAGGAAAGGATTTGGTTCTCCTTCTCAAGGCTCTCTCTCTCTGCTGCAGAGTTTTGGTGGTGGTGTTATGGAGGTGTATAATGAGTTTAGGGTCGTGTTAATGACTAACTATTAACGTTCGATATTTGATTCAGTATTTTTAAAATTTTAATTTTGATTATTGAGTATTAGTGATTAGAGTTTCACCCTCAAATGTTAACATTATGGATTTGTCAAATAGGTCAATCGAACATTCAAATCACTTGTTAAAACAATAATAATAACATATCTTGTATGATCTTCGAAAATGGAATAAGTGAAAGAGATATAAACAAACCTTATCACTATCTTATCGTTAAAGAGATTACTTCTTTGTATTTATGAAAGACTCAGAGTTCGAGAAAGAACAATCAAAATAATATTTCTTTACTTTCAAATTAATTGAACGGTTGATGTGTTTCACAATTTTTAAAAATTGAAGATTATGACATAAATTACATTTTGTTTTTGCCTTTATTAGTTATTCTCGTATCTCTATTTACTTGTCCATTTTTTCTTTTATTTATCTATTTTAATAAATCAAGTGGAAGGACACTTTTTCTTTTCTGTTATACCCTTGCTCAATTAATTACTTTGATAAAGATAATTTTTCTAAAAATATTAAATTTTTAATTCATTCACTCTATTATTAATAAAGGTAAAATGGTAAATTGACTATTATAATAATTGTTTTCTTAATAGGTATGTCAATTAAAAAGTGAACAAGTAATTAAAGACAGAAAAAGCATTGTCAAATTAATCTTAGACTAATTCAAAACAATTGAAGTTTTTTAAACTAATCACATCCAAAATCCAAATAATAAAAATAGAAGATAATTGTAAATGTAATTTTGAAAATTAAACAATTAAATTAATTTAAAATATAAGAAATTTATTAACAATTTAATTATTTTAAAATAAAAAAATATAAATAAGTAATAACGAAAATAAAGACAATATGACAAAATACTATAGACAACCTGATAAAAAATCCTAAAGAATAGATCATAACAAAATAAAAATATAACTTCATTGTAAAAAAAACTCAGAGACAATAGCCAAAGTCAAATGACAATAAACTATAAAAGTAACACTACAACTAATAGTATAGAATAAAAAAGACGAGACCCAACTATGTAGCTAACCATCGATCATTAAATTTAACTCATCAGACCTGAATGTTCAATATTCGATTTAGTATTTTTAAGATTTAAATTCATTAATCAATAATTTAAAATATATATTAAATATCAAACTTTCAACGTTAATTCAATATCGTAATAAAACTTCAATGCGGTAAATCCTTGTTCAATTTGATATTTGATGATTTATACCCAACCCTAGGTAGAAAAACTTATAGAAAATCAGACTTGGTAACATGATCTCAAAAGAGAAAACCAACCTATTAGAACCTATGATTTTCATTAAAAATATTTTGGGAGTTAAGTGTATGTAATTTAAAATTGTTCTCCATAATTAATTATCAATAAAAAGCATAGCTGTTATTGTTGTCGTTTGATATTCAAGTTGAAACCAAGTATGAAAAATTTAACATTCATATTTTCTTAACTTTCACATGCACTAATAGCCAGACGATACTAAAAAAAACATGAATATTTAGTGTTTGAAAGTGATGAGAAGTGAATTGGAACACGTCAAAAAAGAACAGCAATTAGGGTTGTAATGAAAGAAAAAGTTGAATGCTATAGCAATTAATAAAATGTGTTGGTAGCTCAAATAGAAACGGAATCAAAATTAAATGATTTAGTGGACCCTTATACTTATATGTATTTGTATTATGAATTCTTTCACTTGACGTTTTATCAATTAAATTCTTATATTGAATATAATATATGAAACCTCTCTAACCGTTGACCAAACATACGTGATATCAAAATGGCAGGAGTATGTCATTACACATGCATGTAAACAAGTGAACATCATATTTTAATTAAAAAGAGTTGTTAAAATTTTAATAAATAATATAAATAAATTTAAAAAAAATCAAAAAAAATCTTGTTCTTCTCCATTTCTAACTTCTTTTCCAGACAACCCAATTCCTTCCATATCTCTTTTTTTTTCTCTTTCATATACTCCAAACATCAGAAAGTAATTTATTGAAATATTATCTTGAATAATTTATTTGAGGTAGTGAGTAACCATAAACCTTAACTATTTTTGACATATGAATTTGAGAGGGATTGACATTGATCTTTCTGTTTTGAAGAGAAGTATAAGGTTCTATCAGACTATTTCGCCAATTATAAAAAAAAGAAAATTTATAGCAAAGCTATTGGATTATGGCGCTTTACTTATTACTGAATCATCGTTTAATTTTGTTAGGTGCTTTATAAGTTAATATGTACATATATTTATTTAACTTTTTAATACAAATATAAGGTCTATGAAGAAGCTAATATCTACTAGGTTCATTTGAACCAATGAACCCCAATAAACTGTGCCTCTGACTCAATGCAAATAGTTAATATATACATATATTTATATAACTTTTTAATATAAATATAAGATCTACAAAAAAACTATTATCTATTGGATTTATCTGAACCAATGAACTTCAATTAACTGTGTCTCTGAATCAATGCAACTCGGTGTATCGCAACAAATTAAGGTTGGACGCTACAAAAGAACCCTAAATACATTGTGTTCACTAATAATAGTATTACTTTTGTTTGCAAAATCATTCGAGTGATAGTAAAGTTGAACTAAATTAAAGGAACGTGTAAAAGGTAAAAATTAGAGCTAGTTGGGCTAAAAGGCCTAATAGCCTGCCTGACATTGATGTTATCATAAATTATCTTTTCTTCATCGATATTTTTCTTCTCCTTTGACTTACGTGAACAATTTTAAGTCCTCTCAAAAATCTTTAAAAAGATTGCAAAGGGTAATTCTTGAAAAAAAAAACAATTTCCTCCTTCTGATATTTATAATTCAAAATTACAAAAAAAAAAAATTAAAAATATTAATTAATAAAATTAAGATATAACTAATTGTTATTATTTTAATTTATTTGCTGTTGAAGTCATTCTTATTGAAGGACTAAGATATATAAATGTAAAATAGATTAAAAAGAATAAATGGTTAATTAAGTATAACAATCTTTCTTATTTAAGATTTCTTAAGAACGTATAAAAGAGACAGATAATATGAAATAAAAGGCATCGTTATTATAATAAAAATAATTTTTAGCAGTAATAAATATTAACAAAGAGTACTAAAATTTTATCGACATTATTAGTTAAGTGTTATTAGATTGAATGTCATTAAAAACTTTAAGAAAATATAAAAAAAATGTTAATTATCACTTAAAATACATATTTAATAACAATTAAATTATGTTATTAATTAATTGTCACTGATAATTTTTTTTATGTAACGAGTATTACATAATAAATAAGTGATGAAGGGGAATGAAAAAAGAGAAAATGGAGAGTTAACATAAGTTTATCATGTGAAAAACTTTTATAATAACTGATGAAGGGGAATGAAAAAAGAGAAAATGAAAAGTTAACACAAATTTATCATGTGAAAAACTTTTATAATTCCCGTAAAGTTTGATCATTTGAAATTAAATTTCACGATCAATAAAATTATAAAAAATTAAATTCTTAGCATGTCACTTAATTACCAGAACAAATTATGCTAAAGATAGGTATATAGTATGTATTATGCACATACTGAACACAATTACTTATCCAAGGAATACAATTTCTACATGGAAATAATGGTATACTTCTCTATATCCTATTCGTAAATCGTATATATAATATTTTAACAAAAGAAAATTCAAATAATTTCTTCTATCATACTTACCAAAAAAACTCAAATATATTATATACGATATAATTTTTTAATCGAGTGATCAATATTGTGTTAACGTCATGTTATGACATTAACAAAGTAAAAATTAGAGCGCTTTTTAAAGTCACGTGACATCATCGCACCGTCACCTGCTGCTAGTCACGTGCCTTACTGACTGACAGATGTATCTCTAGCCTCTCTCGGTGGGCCCATTTTACATTCAGCATGACGTGTACTCAATAGTGGGTCCCAGCGGTGATGACACGTGTAAATAAATAATTAAAAAATTAAAAAAGTTTGTTGACAACGATAGTGATTAGCTGAGTTGACATCTAGCGAAAGAATGAATATGTACTCCGTCACAATCCCGTTACCTATCATTATTTAATAATCAAAATTTTCCTCATAAAAATATTATTTGAAATTATATTTTTATTTCTAAAATAATATTAAAACTTAATTTCCGTTTTTTTACCTTTCACTTTTATTAGTGTTATATTTTTTTTTCTTAAGTTTACATAGATTATTAATATATATAAGCTAATACATATATATTATGACAAATCTTAGTTTTATTTTAATAGAATAATGTTTGATTATAGTTGGTGCAAATAATATTTTAATGTTTTGAATTTATGTGTTTAATGTGATTTGAAAATGAAAATAATTTGATCGAATAGTTATAAATTTTTTAAAAAGGAAAATTCAAAAAAATATATATGATGAAACTCGAGATAACATTTCAAATATTTTCTAAATTTCAAATGCAACTTTTAAATTTTCGTACTACAAAGACTTGAGTTGTGACATTAAAAGAATAATAATTAAAATAATAGTGGAATAGAATTATCAAAAGAATTTGCCAAACGTGACTCGTGAAAATTGTACTTTAGTTTAGTAAAGTGTATTTTTATATAAGTAGAGTTTGGAGACAATA